AAAACCCCAAAAAGAGAATAGTTCTATCATAGAATGTAAAACTTGCGAGAAATAGGTGTACTAATGAATATCTAATTAAAGAACTTAAATACATAAAATGAATTAAATGACAATCTATCAGAGTATTTTTTCCTATTGAAGCCTCTGTCATTTACTATAATTTACCGCTACTTGAAATAATGGCCTAGACCGGCTTTATTTAGGGTTTTCCTCTTTAAGAGTTTTGTCTAGAGAGCATAATGTAAAATTTTCTATAGAATTTTCATTATCTCTCGCCAAATTTGTATGTTGTAAGGAAATAACTTTCTGCGATGAGTATTTTTATTTTAATGAGTCACCATCCTTGCTTATCTCTCCCAGTAGCTCCTTGCTGCTTATATCATAAAGGTTTTTAGCACTGCTCATTGTGCCAAATGATACTTTAGGTAGGGTACTTTATTCTAGATTTTTAATTGAGTTTGATTTAGTACTGTAACTACTATCACATGAAAAGGTTGATGCTCTGTCACCTTTTATACCCCCATCAGTTTTATTTGAGACCTAAAATGAGGATATACTTCCAATTTAAGTTTATTGTCTAGACTTTTTCTATTATGCCTTCTGAAGTATCTTTAGGTCCCTTTTTTTACTAATTTCGGTGTTATTCAAGGGCAAGATATGATTCTGGGATTGTTGCATTTGCGCATGTTAAAAATGTTATATTAATCTTGAAATATCTCTACTCTAATGTAAAAAAGAAAATAGTAGTACCTTGACTGCGACTAGAACGCTTTCTTAATTTAGCTAGTCCTGTAGAGCATATCAGACAGAGTTGACAATGACTCAGCATTTTTATTGGCGCTATTTAGTTTTACATCTTGAGATTCACGATACTAGCTTTCTCCTTGATCTTAATTTGAAAAATTCTCTAATTTTAGTGCTTTGTTTGTTGAATTTAGCCTCTTTAATAGCAGTCTTTACTTCATTTGAAGTCGTTCTAAATTTTATAATTCCGAAGTTAAGTACCTTTAAGATAATTTTTGAGAAACAGTTTGATTGAATCATCTTAATGTCTCCTGGATGGCTCAATTTACTTGTCCATTGGAGCGTTGCTTACCAAGTTTTTATCCATAATTATATATATTTAAGAATTATACTAAGTTCGATGCATTCTCATTATTTGTGTATTTGGGGTTTTGGGGTTTTGGGGGTGTCTCTCGGGACTGTTGAGCAGTATTGCT